TCCAATTTGTCTGTCTGTGTCTTTGGATTGGGGGATTTAGTCGATTTAAATTTAGAATTAATAACAATATATGTGAGTTTAATACTGCCATTTAATGTTAGCTGGCTGTTTTGCCCATTAGTTGATGTAAATTCTTCATTATGTTGAGGCTCTTTACTTTTTGGTTTTTTTTAGAAAGGCTGATACTGGTTGTTCCTTTCTATGTGTAGTGGTTCTTTCAGAAGCTCTTGTAAAGCAGGCCTGGTGGTGATGAAATCTCTGAGTGCTTGCTTGTTCACAAAAGATTTTATTTTCCCTTCGCTTATGAAGCTTAGTTTGGCTGGATGTGAAATTCTGGGTTGAAAGTTCTTTTCTTTAAGGATGTTGAATATTGACCCCCACTCTCTTCTGGCTTGTTGGGTTTCTGCTGAGAGATCTGCTGTGAGTCTGATAGGCTTCCCTTTGTGGGTAACCTGACCTTTCTTTCTGGCTGCCCTTAGTATTTTCTCCTTCATTTCAACCCTGGTGAGTCTGACGATTATGTGCCTTGAGGTTGGTCTTCTTGAGGAATATCTTTGTGGTGTTCTCTGTATTACCTGGAGTTGAATATTGTCCTGCCTTACTAGGTTGAGAATTTTTTTTTTCTGAATAATATCCTGAAATGTATTTTCCAGCTTGGATTCATTCTCTTCATCACATTCAGGTACACCTATCAAGCGTAGATTAGGTCTTTTCACATAGTCCCATATTTCTTGGAGACTTTGCTCATTCCTTTTTATTCTTTTTTCTCTAATCTTGTCTTCTCGTTTTATTTCATTAAGTTGGTCTTCGACCTCTGATATCCTTTCTTCTGCTTGATCAATTTGGTTGTTAAAACTTGTGCATACTTCATGAAGTTCTCATATTGTGTTTTTCAGCTCCATCAATTCACTTATATTCCTCTCTAAATTGTCTATTCTCGTTAGCATTTCATCAAACCTTTTTTCAAAGTTCCTAGTTTCTTTGCATTGGGTTAGAACAAGTTCTTTTAACTCACAGAAGTTTCTTATCGTCCACCTTTTAAAGCCTGTTTCTGTTAATGGAACACACTGGTTCTCCATCAGGCCTTGTTCCATTACTGATGAGGAACTGTGATCCCCTGCAGAAGGAGAGGCATTCTGATCTTGTGTATTCTCAGCCTTTTTAGGCTGGTTTCTTCCCTTCCTTATAGATTTATCCATCTGTGTCTTTATAATTAGTCTTTGTAATTGGTCTTCTGAGTGGACGTCCAACTTGTTGATTCGCAGTGCCGGAATCTGAGCAGCCCACTGTGCCGGCCAAAACAGCGGCGTTAAGATTGATGGTGCTTTTCTGACTCTGCACCAAGAACCGCTGCTCCGAGGTGCTGGCAAAACCGCCTCACCGGCCACAAGAGTTGCGCTGGCAACCCGTGGGGCTCCTCCGCTGGGAATCTCCTGGTGTGTGAGCAACAGGAATTCATCTGAAAGTGTGGCGTCCTCTCGTTCTCTGCACTTTCACTGGGAGCTACAATCCTGAGCTGCTAGTGATCAGCCATCTTGGATCTCTCTCCTTTTTTTTTTTTTTTTTTTTTGAAGATGGGGTTTCACCATGTTGGTCAGGCTGGTCTTGAACTCCCAACCTCAGGTGATCCACCCACCTTGGCCTCCAAGGTGCTTGGATTACAGGCGTGAGCCACCACGCCCGGCCTACAATTCTTACGTGGACAGCTCATTCCTTCCTCAGGCTAATCTAGGATTTATCGGGTAATTATCAGATTCTCAGTAATTAGAATCTGGTGAAGGGTTGATGCCAGTCTTGGGTAATGAAAACATGGTGATTTCCCAAGGGCCATGACTCTTGTCCCTGACACGAGCAACTTGCAAAAGCACCATCTCCCCGCAGTCTCCCCTTCATCATGTATTATGTTTGTCATTAGACCTTACTAATTTAATGACTGCCAGATAATACCTCATTTTCCACTTTCTGTTGGTATTAGTAAGATTGATATTATAAGCTTGATACTGAAGTCATAAGACACGCCTAAAATGTGGCTACTCTGAGCAGGTCCAGAGAGGGGCCCAGAGCTGTGCCAATTCACTAAGGGAGCAGCTGGGGTGAACCAGCCATCAGCAGAGCAGCCCTCTGTGCTCAGCTCTGGGGTGACGCCTGGCAGAGGCTGCCCCAGGTGAGTCACATGCAGACAATCCCTGGAGACTTCAGGATCACTCACTGAAATAAGCCAGGCACAGAAAGATGAACTTCACGTGTTTTCACTCATTTGTGGGAGCTAAAACTCAAAACAAACTCAGCAATAGAGAGTGGGTAGAATGATGTTCCCAGAGGCTGGGAAGGGTAGTGAAGCAGAGATAGTTAATGGGTTCAAATATATAATTAGATAGAATGAATGAGAGCTAGTATTTTATAGCACAACAGGGTAATTACAGTCAGCGTACATTTAAAATAACTTAAAAGGTGTAATTGGAATGTTTGTAACACAGAGAAGTGACAAATGCCTGAGGTGATGGACACCCCATTTACAACCTGATGTGATGATGACACACTGTATATTTGTATCAAAATATGTACCCCATAAATATATAATCTGTGTACCCATAAAAATAAATTAAAATCACTCGCTGACATGCTGTTCTGCATCCCAACAGCATTTAAAGAGTCTGGGGATCTGGGCTGAGAGGAAAGTAGGTAACATTGCTAAGCTGGTCCCCTGACCCGGACCACAAGTACCTTGGCTGGATATGTGTACAACACTCTGACAGGTACAGATGTGAGTAATCACATCCAAAACTTCTGGCTCTTTGGGGTAACCAGCCTGCTGGTGGCCCCTCCATCTTTCTTGCCATCAGAACCTGGACTCTATTTGGTGAAGGATTGTGTCCACTACTCAGGTGAGAGAAGCTCTCTCTATTCTCCAGCCCCCTTTGCAGCTAGCAGTGGCCGTGTGATCCAGTACTGACCCATGGGAAGGCTTTTCCTTTCCTCATTAAAAGAGATGTATGCAGGCCAGACACGGGGGCTCATGCCTGTAATCCCAGCACTTTGGGAGGCCAAGGCAGGTGGATCACGAGGTCAAGAGATCGAGACCATTCTGGTCAACATGGCGAAACCCCATCTCTACTAAAAATACAAAAATTAGCTGGGCATGGTGGTGCACGCCTGTAGTCCCAGCTACTCGGGAGGCTGAGGCAGGAGAATTGCTTGAACCCAGGAGACGGAGGTTGCGGTGAGCCGAGATCGCACCATCGCGCTCCAGCCTGGGTAACAAGAGCAAAACTCCGTCTCAAAAAAAAAGAGATGTATGCAGCTGACATGATATTCTAGTCTTCCCCACTTTTCGCTGCCCTAGACAGATGGAAAGTCTGAAGCTGTAGCAACCATCTTGTGGTCCTGAAGCATTGAACATGAGGGAAAAGTCAAGATGCAAAAAATGCCATTGGAAATGACATCAGCAAAATGGTGGACTAGGAAGTTACCAGCTCTCATTTCCAAACTGAAATACTGAATAAACAAGCAGAGAACTATCAGAACCAATTTTGTTGGTGCTCCAGAAAACAAAGGTCTATAGCAACCAGGCAAACACTCGATTTTAAAAAGGCCATCTTCAAAACAGTAGCGAAGTTTTGTGGGTTTTTTTGTTTGTTTGTTTTTTGAAACAGAGTTTTGCTCTTGTTGCCCAGGCTGGAGTGCAATCGTGTGATCTCAGCTCATGGCAGCCTCCGCCTCCTGGGTTCAAGCCATTCTCCTGCCTCAGCTCCCAAGTAGCTGGGATTACAGGCCCGCGCCACCATGCCCAGCTAATTTTTTGTATTTTTAGTAGAGACCGGGTTTCTCCATGTTGGTCAGGTTGGTCTCAAACTCCTGACCTCAGGTGATTCACCCACTTCATCCTCCCAAAGTGCTGGGATTACAGGCATGAGCCACCATGCCCGGCCTTTAACTATTTTTTTTTTTAATTTTAACATTTTAATTTCTTTGGAATATAAGTCATTTTTTGCAAGCTAAAAAATAGAATCAAAGTAAGGCAATCTAGTGCTCCAGGCATCCAGGCTGAGCTCTGCAATCATGAGCAGAGTAATGACATAATGCAAGGTGCCAGCAACAGAGCTATAAACTCTAACTAATAAACATTTATCTACATGTTTCATTAGGAACAGCCAAAAGTCCTGCCCTTAAAGGAATAATCTACAGAACATCTTGATTTAGAAGGGACAAAATGACCCCAATTATATGCTGTCCAATCTACTGGTGAACTGGATCAGAATGGGCCAGGGACTGTTAGAGAAAGTATTTACATCCTGAAAACTTACCGTGCAGGCTAGTTTATTCCTGGCTGCTGTCAATAAGAAAGCAAGTAAAAAATATACATATATATATTACAGATGAACTCACTGATCTTTGATTCTTACCAAGGTCTTCCACTGGAACACGAAGGTAGGGTTAAGTGTAAGGGATAATATACTCCAGGTTTTTTTTGGTTTTGTTTTTTTTGAGATGGAGTCTTGCTCTATTGCCCAGGCTGGAGTGCAGTGGTGTGATCTCAGCTGACTGCAACCTCCACATCCTGGGTTTAAACAGTTTTCCTGCCTCAGCCTCTTGAATAGCTGGGATTACAGGTGCACACCACCACGCCCAGCTAATTTTTTCGTATTTTTAGTAGAGATGGGGTTTCAGCATGTTAGTCAGGCTGATCTCGAACTCCTGACCTCATGATCCACCCATCTTGGCCTCCCAAAGTGCTGGGATTACAGGCATGAGCTACCATGCCCGGCCAAGATACTCAGATATTTTTAAAATAAATTACTTAGTAGTAAGAAACTAGCCATACTACATTCTTCCATTTGCTACAAGAACAAATTGGCAGTGAAGACTATTTAAAAGAAATGCTCAGCTCTACACAGGGTGGTGGCAGGCAACACTTTCCACTACAGAATAAACTCTATTCTTCCATGATACATATTCCTGTGGAAAAAAAACTTGCCAGGAGCTCTTGCCAGGGCCAAGGGATGAAAAACAGAGCAGGTCACGTCCTAACTAGCTAACTGTAGGCTCAGTTAACATCTTTGGGAAGAACCCTTAAAATCAAGGCCATTGTTTTCTTAAACATCCATAAGCTGCAGAATTCCTTAGCCCTTATCTAGAGTTTCTGCTTGGTATCTTAAAGCTGGGGCAGTCCCACTGTGACTCTTCTCAGATGTAAGGTGGGTGCTAGTCATCGAAGTCTGGAATGTCATCATCGGAGTAACCGTGGTAGCCTTTGAATGCATAGAAAGCAATGCGAAGGTGGTAAAATTCGAGTAGGAACACCAGAATGCCAATGATCAGGACTGGAACGGCCTGGTCTACCCCCACTTTGCTGATGTAGCCTGAGAGCAGGAGGGAGCCTACAATAATGAGAAAGGTGCTAATCCAAAACAGCCCAGTGGCGAGTGCAAAGGCCTTGTAAGGGATCTTTGGAGGGCTTTTCTTAAACTGAAAGTCAATGTAGCCATCGTCTGTGCTGGAGAGCCTCGAATATTTCACTTTACTACTGGGGATTCCAGTAGCCAAGTTGGTACGGGACGGCATCCTAACACGCTGACATAGCAGAGTGCCGCGCCAGGCTGCACACATGCCCAGAGCTCGTCCATGGTTGGCAGCACCAGAGGTCACATGGCCACTCTGGCCCGCCTAAGTGCTGCCCAGCCCGCTCCTAGCGGAATCAGTCAACTATTTTTTTTTTTTTTTTTTTTTTTTTTTTTTTTTTTTTTTGAGACAGTCTCGCTCTACAGCCCAGGCTACAGTGCAGTGGTGCAATCTCGGCTCATCACAGCCTCCCCGTTTTGGGTCCCAGTTCAAGCAACTCTCCTCCCTCAGCCTCCTGAGTAGCTGGGATTACAGGCATGAGCCACCATGCCCAGCTAATTTTTTTGTATTTTTAGTAGAGACGGGTTTTCACCTTGTTGACCATGCTGGTCTTGAACTTCTGACCTCGTGATCCACCCGCCTCGACCTCCCAAAGTGCTGGGATTACAGCCGCGAGCCATCATGCCCGGCCTTTTTGTGTTTTTACTTAGTCTTGCCCCACCCCTTCCCCAGCATGGCAGCAGCCTTGGTCTTTTTTTTTTGAAACAGGGTCTCAAAAAACAGCCCAGGCTGAAGTGTATTGGTACAATCATGGCTTACTGTAGACTCCCAATCAGCCTCCTGAGTAGCTAGAATTACAGGTATGTGCCACCATACCCAACTAGGGCTTTTGTTTTGTTTTGTTTTGTTTTTTTTGAGATGGAGTCTCGCTTCTGTCACCAGGCTGGAGCACAGTGGTGCGATCTCAGCTCACTGCAACCTCTGACTCCCTCGTTCAAGCGATTCTCCTTCCTCAGCCTCCTAGGTAGCTGGGATTATAGGCACATGCCACCACGCCCAGCTAATTTTTGTACTTTTAGTAGAGGCAGGGTTTCACCATGTTGGCCAGGATAGTCTTGATCTCCTGACCTTGTGATCCACCCGCCTCAGCCTCCCAAAGTGCTGGGATTACAGGCGTGAGCCACTGCACCTGGCTCCAGCTAGTGTTTTAAAGTGTTTATAGAAATAGGGTCTCACTATGTTGTCAGGGCTGGTCTCAAACTCCTGGCCTCAAGTGATCCTCCTGCCTTGGTCTCCCACAGTGTTGGGATTACAGGCATGAGCCACTGCACCCAGCCAGCAGTTTTGGACTTGAGACAGTAGTAGCACAGTTCTCAGTTCCCACCCTCCAAAGAGAGCAGGCTACCTTATTTGCAAACTACCATGTGCATCTGTTCTTGTCTGGGGGATACCTGAAGAACTGATGCGAGATGCTGTGTCTCTTGGCCAAAATCAGGCCACTGCTCAGAAAAGATGTCTGGGGCAAGAGGTTATAGGTAGAGACATGCAATAGACCACTTTAAACCCAGAGGAGAAGCTTGGATAAGCTGGATATTCAAAAGCAACTCCCGGGCACAGTGGCTCACATTTGTAATCCCAACACTTTGGGAGGCTGAGGCAGGCAGATTGTTTGAGCCCAGGAGTTTGAGACCAGTCTGGACAACATAGCAAGACCCTGTATCTACAAAAAAATTTTTTAAATAGCGGAGCGTGGTGGCATGCACCTGTAGTCCCAGGAACTTGGAAGACTGAGGGGGGAGGATCGCTTGAGCCCAGAAGTTTGAGGCTGCAGTGAGCCATGATTGTGCCACTGCACTCCAGCCATCGCAGTAGAGCAAGTCCCCATCTCAAAAAAAAATTTATATAAATTTTTAAAGCAGCTATAAGCCAAGCACAGTGGCTCATGCCTATAATCCCAGTGCTTTGGAGGCCAAGGTGGGAGGATCACTTGAGGTCAGGAGTTTGAGATTAGCCTGGGCAATATGGCAAGACCCCATCTTTACAAAAAATAAATTTTTTTTTTCAAAAAATAAAATTTTTAAGAAGTTAGCTGGCATGGCGGCATGTAACTGTAGTCTCAGCTATTTTGGAGGCTGAGATGGGAGGATCATTTGAGTTCAAAGGTTAGAGGCTGTAGTAAGCCATGATCGCACCACTGCGCTCCAGGCCTGAATGTTGACTCAAGTAAAAATGAGAAAGGAAAGAAGAAAAGAAGAGAAGAGAAGAAAAAAGAAAGAAAAAGGAAAGAAGAGAGAGAGAGAGAAAAAAGGAAGGAAGGAAGGAAAGAAAAAGAGAGAGAAAGAAAAGGAAAGGGAAGGAAGGAAGGAAGGAATGAAAGAAAGAAAGGAGGAAAGGAGGGAGGGAAGGGAAAGCTTAGCCGGGCATGGCGGTACATTCTTGTAGTCCTAACCACTTGGGAAACGAAACAAAAAGATCACCTGAGCCTGGAGTTTGAGGCTGCAGTGAGCCATGATCATCACTTAACACCAGCCTGGATGACAGAGCGAGAGCCAACTCAACAAAAATAGAACAGCTCTGTATACAGGAAATTTAGAATGCCACACGGATGCCCAGGGCAAAACGCATGTTCAGAAAAGCCCTGAAACTTTTGTCACAGGCTGATCCTTAGGCTCAGAACAAGTCTAGCTAAGGGTTAAAAGAGTTCCAGCCAATTTGCAGAATGGAAGAGGTAATTAGCTGGGTGTGGTGGCCAGCGGCTGTAGTCCCAGCTACTCCGGAGGCTGAGGCAGGAGAATCGCTTGAACCCAGGAGTCAGAGGTTGCAGTGAGCTGAGATCCCACCACTGCACTCCAGCCTGGAGACAGAGCGAGACTCCGTTAAAAAAAAAAAAAAAAAAAAAAAAAGGTGTAAGAGGTATGCTGTGTGTGTGTGTGTGTGTGTGTGTGTGTGTGTGTGTGTGTGTGTGTGTGTTGGTGGTGTCATCATTTCTTAGTTCCAGGCATCTCTGTCAAAACACTGGCTAAACACAAGCTAAAGAAACAGACACTTTGGTGACCACAAAAAACAATGAATAGTCTTTGCAAAAATAGTTTGGGAAAGTATAAAAACAGATGACTACAGCCTTTAGCAATTTTAAAAAAAAAGTGCTGAGGAGGAGATAGAACCTGATTTCCAGACTTCTCATATTATAATAGTTAAATGTTCAGTTTGCAACAGCAACAGCAAAATCATGAGGCAAACAGAAATGGGAAAAGATGGCCTAGTCAAAGGAACAGAAACAAGTTGAAAAAACTGTGTCGAAGGCAGCCCAGCATTAGACTTATTAGACAAAAAACTTTAAAACAGCTATCTTAAAGAGCTAAGAGCAAAAACAGATGAGGACTAAAGTAAATTAGGAAAACTATGCATGAATGAAATGAGGTTATCAATAAATTATAAAAAAGAACCACACAGAAATTCTGGACCTGAAAAGGATAATAACCGAAATAGAAACTTCACCAGAGGGACCCAAGAGCAGATTTGAGAAAGCAGAAAAAAAAAATCTGTGAACTTGAAGGTAGGACAATTGAAATCATCAGTTTAGAGGAACAGACATGAGAAAGAGTGAGGAAATGTGAACAGAGACTAAGTTACTTATGATACATCATGAAACAAAATAACATGGGTGTTACAGAAGTTCAGTAAGGAGAAGAAAGAGAGAATAGACAGATTATTTGAAGAAATAATGGCCTAAAACTTTCCAAATTTGATAAGGGACATGAATATAAAATATCTAAAAAGTCCAATAAACTCCAAGGAGTACAAATGCAAAGAGACTTACATTGAGATATATTATAATCAAATAGTTGAAAGACAAATACTGAGAGAATATCGAAAATGAGAAAAGTGACTCATCACATACATGATGTCCTCAGTAAGATTATCAGCTGATTACTCATAAGAAACATTGAAGGTCAAAAGATAGTGAGCTTGATATATTTAAAGTGTTGAAACAAACAAAATTGTCCACCAAAAATTCTATTTCCAGCAAAACTTTCCTTTAAAATAAGTGAGAAATTAAGACATTTTCAGATACACAACAGCTGAGAAAGTTCATTATCACTAGACCTGCCTTGCAAGAAATGCGAAGGGGACTCTTTCAGGTTGAAATGAAAGGATGCTGAGGTCAGAAAATTGTTATGAGTAACCTAAAAAAAAAAAAAAGAAAAGAAAAGAAAAAAGAAATGAAAGGATGCTAGGCAGTAACTCAAGGGTGTTTGAAGAAATAAAAATCTCCAATAAAGATATTTACATGGATAAATATAAAAGCCAGAATTATTATAGCTTTGGGGATTTTTCTTGGGTGTTTTGTTTGTTTATTTGTTTTGAGACAGGGTCTCTCTTTGGTCCAGGCTGGAATGCATTGGTGTAATCATAGCTCACTGCATTCTTGACCTCTGGGCTCAGTCAGTCCTCCCATTTCAGGTCCCAAGTAGCTGGAATCCCAATTATAGGCACATGCCACCATGCTTGGCAAATTTTTGTATTTTTTGTAGAGATGGGGTCTCACTGTGTTGCCCAGGCTGGTCTCAAAATCCTGGAGGCAGGCGATTCTCATACCTCAGCTTCTCAAAGTGCTGTCATTACAGGCCTGAGCCACCATGCCTGCCAACTCACTCTTACTTTTTTCCTTTTTTGTAAAGCCAGAATCTTGTTATGTTGCCTAGGCTGGTCTCAAACTCCTGGCCTCAAGCAATTCTCCCACCTCAACCTTCCAAAGCACTGGGATTGCAGGTATGAACCACCACACTCAGCCAAAAAACATAATTCCACATTTTTGAGCAAACAATGTATAAAACAAAATTTTTGACATCAATAACCAAACTAAAGTGGGGACAAAGCTGTCTAGAAGTAGAGTTTTGTATGCTGTTAAACTGGTATCAATGCAAATTAGATTTTGTTTGTTTGTTTGTTTGAGAAGGAGTTTCACTCTTGTTACCCAGGCTGGGCTCTTGTTACCCAGGCTGGAGTGCAATGGCACAATCTCAGCTCACTGCAACCTCCGTCTCCTGGGTTCAGGGAATTCTCCTGCCTCAGCCTCCTGAGTAGCTGGGATTACAGGCACATGCCACCATGCCCAGCTAATTGTTTTGCATTTTTAGTAGAGATGGGGGTTTCACCATGTTGACCAGGATGGTCTCAATCTCTTGACCTTGTGATCCACCCGCCTCGGCCTCCCAAAGTGCTGGGATTACAGGCGTGAGCCACCGAGCCCGGCCCAAATTAGATTTTTTTAACTCTAGGAAATATTTCTATTTTACATATATAAAAATCACTTTTAAAA